CAGGCGGCCGCTCGGAGTCGCAAGAGCGGTGGGAATTTGCGAACATTGTAACATATGGGGTGCAGTGTACAGGGCTCCATGTGATAGTTGTAATGGTAGGATGTGATAGTTGTAATGGTAGGAAATTGTTTATCGGATCTTCTTCGAACTGTCCTTGCATCTGAGGATTCTCCATCCTACGTCGAGAGAAAGCGCCTTGGCAGAGTAAATCAATTTCGCAAAGACGGTTTCAATTTAAGGCGAGTCACGCCCCGTGACTGTTTCCAGCATCCTGCCTTGAGGTTCTCCGAAGATGTGCTTTTGCACGTGAGTGCATGACTGTGGTTCGCACTGTTGCATGCAACGGAATTCGAACCGACTTTTCATGAGTATCCATGGGTTTAGGGTTTAGGGTTTTCATGAGTATCCATGGTGGCGGGGCCGGAGTGGAGGCGGGGGGATGCTTTGATTTTCCGAGATAGGGGTCAGCAACGAAGCCTCCACTCGATCCCGGGAGCCCTACAGCAATGGAGGCCTGACAATTCGCCACGTCCAACCATCCAGCCCCACTCCCAAGTACAACATCACAGCCGTCCGGCCGTGCAGTTTCCTCAGTAGTGTTCCTTGCTGCGAATCCTGCATGTTTGCGAACAGGGCACTCTACCCACAACTTGCCCTGATCCTTCAAGGCCATCCCTAAACCCCAAAATATCTAGTGCCGACCAGTCAAACTACTTTGAACCTGAGACCTCGTCTGGCAAGTCCGAGTTGAGAGAGCGTAAACCCTAAACCCTAAACCCCATACGATCTCAGGTTGCAAGATATCTACACCGCTTCCGTTCAGCTGGCCGAGGTCGGCAGGATTGGCACACACCTCACACGCAAACTAGGGTAACCAGGGCTTTAGGGGTTTAGGGTTTAGGGTACGCCGCCAACCCACCTTTAAACCTCGATATAATGAGGCATGTGATTTTAGAACTAGGGGCCTTTTAAAGAACAAGTTTATGGCCCCTTGAAAGAACGACTTCCTGGGCGTCGAGGCTTATGTACATGGAGTTCCAGGTTGATGGGGATTCAGGCTCTATACCTGTGGATTCAAGCAAGGACGACTTCGAAGGATTGCTACCTACCAGGACCCCCCAATGGCCCTTTAATGGAGCCCTCCGAATTATCTGAGGATGTGTTTTTTTCTTGGGGAATGCTTGTTGTTTGTTTGTGCTGTTTGCTGTCCTCTGCTTTTTCTGCTTTCCTCTGCTTTTCTGCTTCTCTGCTTTTCCGCTTCTCTTGCTACTCTGTTGTTCTGCTTCTCTCTTTCAAGTTTTTGTTCGCTTGCTGCTGTTCCCTGCTTTGATTGCTTGTTGTTTTTTATTCTTGATTGCTCTCCTTCGCCTTGGCTGCTTTCATTTTGCTTTTCAGCTTTTCTGCTTCTCTGCTTCTCCGCTGCTTTGCTTTAACGCTTTGCTTTCTTTCTGTACCAGGACTATTACTTAACCCTTACTTTATTATTTCAAAAAGAACAAAATGTCTTCTCCAACACGCAAAAGGAAATCCCTTGCGAAATCGCCCTCGAAGCCCTCTTCGAAGGGAGCCCTCTCGTTGCAAATGGGGGTCCCCGCTTTCTTGATCCGTGAAGAAATGAATGAACACGTCTTCTCCAACACGCAGACAAGAAGGCGAAAGCCAGACGTATTCGCTTGGGAGTAATTTTGCATCCGTATAAATTTGGGTATATTAGAGGGTAGCTGGGGAATCTAGGCAACTAAGGTTTCATCTATGTTGCTACGGTCTGAGGCTACAGGCAACAGTTGAGGGTTCACCGTTTCAACTTTCAGGCGGGGCCAGTCATGTTGACTTTTCTCCACTGGGGCGGCACGGAGGATGCGTTCCACCATATGCACACTTACCCTGAGCCGTGAACCCATGCAGAGGTTTTCAATTCCCGCTGCTCCTGACTTGCAACTTAGCATGTCAATTTCCCTGTAGACCGCTAGTCAGAACGACAATCTTGAAGGTGTAGTATAGAGTCGAAGCTCACACTTGTAGTAGCCTGTTCCTCTGGATTGCATTGTTGGTAAGTGCAGAATGCACCTTGTGACAAATCAGCAACCGAGCCGGTGCCGAAGGATCTCGGCTCGAGTTGCCTCCTGATTGAATCTCTTTTGCAGGTCATAGGCCATGTCGTGCTCGACTGTGGCGATTGACTCTGCTTGGAGGCAGCTGGCGGGAATCAGTGTTCTTACTGGTCTGGAAACGGCCGAGATCTACGACTCGTGGCTGGAAGGAACCCGCCACGCTCTTCTCGAGTTGCACAGCTGGGTCGGCAGGGCTCAGGCAGTGGCTCTCCTTCCGTTGATCGATCTCCTGACGACCCTTCATTGCGGATCGGTGCAGCCAGTGGGATCCGGCACCATTGCTCCACGGGGCACTTCAGAGTTGTCTGCAGAAGATGCTCGGTCTGAGGTGATTTCGACTATCTTGCGCTCTCGGGTGCAGCTGGCTTTGGTGCTGCCAATGCAGGATCCACATCGGAATCTGCCTGAGCTGGATGCAGCTCACGCGCTGTCGGCCATCATGCGCACCATCGGCGAGGACCGGCATTCAGGTTTTCTTGATGTGCAGAAGGTTGTCGGAGCAAGCAACCGTGCCTTGGATAGCTCCTTGGCTCGATGGCCTCAGCGGCCAGTGTTTGGGAGGCCTTGCGCCTCAAGGGTCTGTCTGAGATAGCGCCCGCATGTGTTCGAGCCGATGTCGTTTCTCTTGAGGGTGTCCGTAGTGCGGGTCTTGCGTTGTTGAGAGAGGGAGTGCAGCGATGGCAGCTTGAAATGCTACTAGCGGCTCCGGGTGATGGAGCAGTGCTGGCAAGACATCGAGCTGATTTGCCGCCAGTTCGGAAACGGCAACGGGCGTCGTTTGACTTAGCTATGCAGGCTGCGGCACCCAGCGAGCGAGCGAGGGCGCTGCAGGAACTTGATGATGAGGTCCTCGCCAGGACGACCATAGGACCCATGGAGTCCCGTCTCCTTGTGTGGAGACGCCTCTGTGAGGCGTGGGAGGTCACAGCCTTCCCGCTCGACGACAAGAACGTCCGTGCTGTTGGAGCATCTCTGAAGAGGGGTCGGTATCGCTCAGCGGCCCAGTATTATTCTGCTGCGGTGTCGTTCCAGGTCCGTCGCTTACACATAGCACTTCAGCCGTACATCAAAGCTCTGATACGGGATTGTGTGAGGTCCATCAAGCGGGGCCTCGGCCCTTCTGCCTTGAAGGACTCCTTTGACGTCTGCCTTCTCGCACCTCACGTGCAGCCGGGCACCGAGTTCGAACCTTTCTCATGGCAGGACATGGCCGCGGCCACAGATGCTCTGCTGGTCGCATCCTACTGGTGTATGAGGGAAATTGAAATGGCCGGAGCTTCGTCGGATCATCTTTACTTCAGGTCAGGATTGGCTCTGCAACTTCTCCCAGTGCACAAGACAGCAGCCAGTGGTGCGCTGACGGAACGGGGGTTGGCCTGCGGGTGCTCTGCTCGGCAGCACCCTCTCTGCCCGGCTTGTGCAGCTCGCAGACATGTGCAGCGATTGGAAATTTTACAAGGAACGCTTGATGCCCGGTCCTTGCCTCTCTTTCCCGGGGATAGTGGACAGGTGTTGGAGAAGCGCGAGGTGGTACAGTACATCAGGGACACCTTGCGTCGGGCAGGCATTCGCACGACCCGACCGGACGAGGTCGGCCGAGAAGTGGACCGCTTCGGCGGCCATGTCCTCCGTGTCTCAGGCACGCAGCATTTATACCTGCTGGGTCTCCGCTGGGACCTTGTTCAGCTTCATGGGAGATGGTCCTCAGTAGCCATCCAGAAGTATCTGCAGGAGGCCCCGTTGCTGCAGGTGCCAGGCACTGTCGCTCAAGCACTTTCCTCCGACGATCCATTGCCGCCACAGCGACTGAGAGTGCGGGTCGCTGCTGACGACGCGAGTGTGCAAGCTCGCGGAATGGAAGGCGAGCTTGAGTCTTGTGCCCCTCCGGCCAATGGTGGATCGGAGCTACATGGCCCAGCCCAGCAGGAGGCGGCGGCTCTTCAGATCCAGTTTCGACCGATGCGGGACGCTATGGAGGCCGTGGAGACCCTCGTGGTGAACACCAGGACACGGAGGGCCCACAAGCCCGATCCGAACGAACAGACCACACAGCAGGCTCTCTGGAGCACCGCTTGCGGCATCGCTTATGGCAACTCACGATTCTTCCGGACGAGGAGTGACAGACCCGAGTGGGCGCGGTGCAAGAGGTGTTTCCCCAGCCAGGAGTTGTCAGCAGCAGACGACAATCCAGAGTCGGATCCCGAGAGTGCAGGGAGTTCTAGCTCTTTGGACTCTTCTTCGTCCAGCTCTTCCTCCGATTGAGGGTGTGGGGCGATGATGCTTTATAGGAGCCTTGAGGGAGGCTCCTTTTTCTTGGGCAGTTGGCCCCAGGGCGACAGTGAAGACAGTCGCGCGGGGTGCACAAAGAGTAGACTTGCGTTAGGGCAGCGATACGTGCAGCGATTGCATCCCGATGCTTGTGTGCTCTTGCGCGTGAAATGTGCTCTGTCAGGGCATCGGTCTTCCCGTTGCTGCTCCTCTTCGTCTTCCAGGAGTCATGATAGTGGCCGGGCAGCCGCAGCATGGTCCGGTCCTGGACCTTCAGGAGGTAGATTGATGGGGCCAGTGGGCGCCACCATCGGGCACACGAGGCTGGGAGGGCAGCGCGTGAGCTGCCGGTCTCCGCCCAGTGCCAGACTTTTTGTAAGTGCGACGGGACAGGTGGCTCCCAGTCGAAGGCGCCAAGAGCGCAGCGGATGACACGCGATGTCGGGCCGCGCTCTCAAAATTCCGTCCTCCTTGAACGGGGCTGCGAGGGTTGTTGTGCGGTGTAGGGTTGTCATGCCGTCCTGACATGTCGGTTGCACACGTAGCATGAGGAACCATGTGTTGCGCAGCGATTTTCCCACGGCAAGTGCCGATCCGGCCACCATAGGTAGGCCGGGGGCCATGGCTCTCGATGAGCTGGCAGAAAAGGCTGGGGCAGGCGAAGAGGTTCGCCGATATCTGAAGCTTCGCGGAGTTTCGAGTGCGGGGACTGGGTTTCAAGGCTGGCACGGAGGTGGTGAAGCTTGGTGACACAGAGAAGCCGATAGCAGCTGCAGTGCTTTTATTCATGAGGCGCATGGCGGTGCAGGCTCAGCAGGCAGCGGCCACTCCCGCAGCATCTCCTTTGCCGACTGGGATTGGTGCTTCATTAGCCTCAGGCCCCACGAGCTCCGATGACAAGGTTCCGAGGACCCTCCCGGCAAACGTCTGGTCTGATCAGATCAAGAAGTACGAGGCCACGGTCACTCAGGGACGGAGCCGGGCTTTCCCACAACGCCAGGTCTTGGGTGCTGAAGCCGCCTTGGCCAAACTCTGGCACTATCTCAAGGTCACGCGCAGCTTCGCGCCGTTACCCCTGGGCGAGATCCTCAGCCGTCGGAGCTTCGATGCGACGGGGCAGGTGAATGCGTTGTCAAAACGCAAGCACAAAAGTGAGCTAGTGGTCGACGTTGACCGCGACAGGCTGGTAGCTGAAGAACAGGACGATAGCTGGGAGCCCCGCAGCATGATGGCCGTGTGCGATGCTCTGAACGCTTTGAGATGGGCCTACATCCTCCTGGAGTATGGCCACGAGTTCGACGTCAACGAGCTCTTCGACGTCCTCATTCAGCGAGCCCGACAACGCCCTCAGCAACTTGAGCAGTTTCGCTCCTACTACGAGGCAGCCATGTGTGGCAGCTGTGCACCGAGCTTCGGAGCGGCAAGACCTTCACCGAGGCCATGACAGTCGTCAAAGAAGACGTTCACTTGTACCAGGAGACCATGTCGAAACCTCAGAATTCTCCACAGAAGCCCGGGGGGGATCGCAAGCGCAAGCTCAACGAGGACTCGCCGGCCAAGACGGAGACATGGAAGCAGACCTCGGGGAAATGGCAGGGTCAGCAACGCGGCGAGCGGTGGCAGGGCAGGTGGAAGTCCGGCCAGCCGTCCAAAAGCTCCTAGGGAGTCGGAGACCCTGGGGCCGGAGGCGACCCAGGAGGTTCCGCAGCCCATAAGCCTCGTCAGCTTCATGGGATTCGTTGGGCAGCAGTGCATGGAAAGTGGTCATAGTCCAAGCTATCAGGATTGGGGACAAGGGCGGCCTCACCCATACAAGGCGGCTTCACCGGATGTCGGACATGCTGACGATGTGCGCCGGCCTGCAGTTCGTGCTCAGGATTGGAAGCATGCAGCATACCCCGGAGGGCGGATCCGCCGATTCAGCCGCATCAGCGGTTGGGGGGGTGTTTTTCCCTGTGCGACAGACGGAAGGGAAAAACACCTGTGACGTCCCTTCGCCTCGTGATCCTCCTGGCCCACGACAAGGCGGGCAGGCAGGCGATGGAGGGACAATGTCGCGGCCAAAGCGGAGGCTCCTCCTCCGCCACCACCTCCTTTCCCGCCACAGCCACCGACTACCACATCAGCGAGTTCGTCCAACGAGGCGGGGATCATCCACCTCGATTTCTTCTCGGGGGTCGGGTCTGCCTCACTGGCTCTCAGCGGCTGGGCAGACCGATCAGGTGCACCTTTCAGTGGGAGATTGACGACGCAGCGAGGCGGGTTTCCAAGCTTGTTTCCAGCCGGGGCGATCTTCGTCAGGACACTCCGGAGGCAGCGGCGAAGGCGATTCGAGAAGTTCGGGGCGGTGATCGAGATGTGCTGCTGGTCACCGCGGCAGCACCATGTCCGGATTTTAGTCGCCTCAACGCATCGGCGGGGGGGCGCTCGGGTGCTTCAGGCGACCTCTTTGTTGCCTTTGCAAAGTTTCTACGCAAGCTTCTGAGTTTCTTCCCGGGGCGGAAAGCTTGTTTGCTCGCTGAGAATGTGCTGATGCAGAACGCGGGTGATGTGCAATACTTTTCCCGTGAGCTCTGTGCCGAGCCGATTATTGCTGACGCCTCCGACTACCAGCTCATCAGCAGACCGAGATTGTGGTGGTCATGGATTCCTTGGACGGATGTGGATGTGTACCCTGATACACAACAGAAGTTGCAATGGAAGAAGGCGGACAACAGGCTGGCCAAATTGCGACTATGGGTGCCACCGGACACGGTTGCCGACATGCAGCCAGACGGGCTGCATTTTCATCCCGATGTCTTTGGCGGGCAAACACTTGTTGCCCTGTCTTACCACGCCTGCTCTGACAGAGTCTGGCCGTGAACCGCCGAAGAAAATGCGAGCCAAAATCGATTCGCAGACCCGCCAAAGGTGGCTTGAAGACCATCGACAATATGCTCCTTGGTTCTATGACGAGCGGAACATGTTAACGGCCGGAGATTCCTCTTTCCATCTACTACCAGTGGAGACGAAGGAGGCCTTGCATCACTTTGACCGGGGCTTCACGGCTCACCCGGACAACTCCGAGAAGGATCGGAACAGATTGTTAGGCAACAGCTGGCACGTTGGCGTCGCGCAGAATCTGTTGCATTTTGCTTTGAAGCACGGCATTGTCGTGCTACCAGGCCCTTTTGGCCCATCCGGGAGCATTGCTTCTCAGATGACTGATTTAGCGTCGGCTACTAGAGTCGCTTCCCAAGAGCCTTTGCCCGTGCGGAGGGCAGCGGAAATGAATGAGCATGCGCACATGGTCCCAGTTCAGGGCATGTGGGAACATTGGCACGCAGCGTATCAAGCAGTACACCCGGCACTGTTGCCCGTGGTGTTGGATCCAGGTCTCGAGCTCACCATTCGACGCCTCACACACTTGAGCCCTTCTAGACTCACATCCCTTAGGGAACAGGTCATCGCAGACATTCAGCGACAGAAGGTTTCGATGTCGGGTGCCACAGATCGTTGGTTTCGCAGTTTACCCCAGCATGTGCAGAGGGCATACACTTTGGAGGACGGTGCCATCGTTCAGATCCCTCTGTTTATTGCTCTGCTCCGAGGTTGCGGCTATCCGGACTGCGACTCCCTGGAGGAGGCACTGACATTCGGTTTTCCCGTCACTGGTGCCATAGACCACACGCCTGGATGGCGACCCAGATTAGATGATAAATACAGTGCACCGATCTCCTCTGGTTCGTTTGCGGCACTCAATCGTGGTTATGTACTGCAGAAATTGCAAAGGAGTCGCGTTGATCCGGAGTGGCAGGCGCTGCTTTCGGAAATCATTGCTGAGGTGCACAAGGGCCGGATGCAGGGGCCGTTCCGAGCCCCACCGGACTGGCCTCGCCAGTGCGTGCCGATCCATTCACATTCGGGTTTTGCGTGCTGTCTGGAGCTGCCGGAAACTGACATACGAGTTGCTGGCGCCTTCTCAGTCAAACAGACTGGGAGCGATGGCAGCGATAAGGTGCGGCGGTGTGAGGATTACCGCCGCAGTTTTCATAATGCAACCGTGGGTGCATCAGACATTCCGGCACATGACACGATCCATACTTTTGTCAGTGTTCTGTTACGGTTGCAGCGCGAGGGCTTCTTGACCAAGGTTTGGTGCCAGGACTTGTGGGCCGCTTACAGACAGTTTCCTGTCAGGGAGCCGCGTGAGGCTTTTACGCTGCTCGCCACGCCCACTGGACCCACACTGTGGTGTCATGGAGTGCTCCCTTTTGGAGCAGCCTCGTCAGTTTGGTGCTTTAACAGATGTATTGATGCTTTAGCATATTTGGCTAGAACGCTCTTGATCATTTTGATCATCCACTACGTGGGTGATATCGGGGGGCCCGACACGGCGGACAGTGCAGCCTCTGGCTTCTGGGCTTTTGCGGAGCTGTGTGAACTTCTGGGCATGCGCCTGAAACCGGCGAAAGCTCAACCACCTGATATAAGACATAAGTTGCTTGGGGTGATATTGGAGATCCTCCCGGAGGGGATTCGACTCTCTCCAGCTCCTGACCGCATTGCTAAGGTCGTCGCGATGATGCAGACGGCTCTGCAGTCGGATTCTCTTGACCCAATGGTGGCTCAGCGCTTAGCTGGAAAGCTTAACTTCTTACAAACCACGATGTTTGGACAAGCAGGAGCAGCGGCTGTCAGGCCGATTTATTCTCGGGGCCAGGCAGTGGCCGGGTCTGCTGAGGTCCGCTTGAACAGCGCACTACGCTGCTCTCTTAAGTTCTTGATCAAACTGCTGGAGGCCAGTAAGCCGAAGTGGATACCTTTCTGCCCCACCCCGGATGATCATTCCGTGTTGTATGCTGATGCGTTTTTCGAGCTGGGTGACAGCTCCTTCGGGCTTTCTGACGAACCCCCGCAACACTGGAACAATCGCTCTTCGTGTATGTATCGCAACGGCTGGGGCTTTGTGGTGCGCACACCGCATGGTGTGCGGTACGGAGCTGGCAGGGTTCCTGCTGAGGTATTGTCACGCTTCACTAGTCGCAAAGCTTTTATATACTCTTTGGAGATTTTTGCTCAGATTGTGGCAGCGATCACTTGTCAGGATGTTTTGAGTCCTTTTTGGTTGGGTTTCTGCGACAACCAGGCCGGTCGGTCTGCTCTGGAGAGAGGATACGGCCGCGAGGACTCCATTAATAACTTGATCGCCTGTTTTTGGTGCGTGGCATCTTTGAAGAATTGGCAACCGCACTTCCAATGGGTGCCCAGCGAGCAAAATATTAGCGACCCTTTCTCGAGGGGCGATTCCTCGATCGGCGAGACACATGGCTGGTCCCAGCTTCACTCTGACTTCTCCGACTTTTGGCAGATCTTGTTGCGGGTCGTCTCTGACTTCGATTTTGCCGTTGGGGCGGCGCCTGCGGCTTTGCTCAACCTGAGATGGGCCTTCAAGTAGGGCTAGAGAGCCTCGGCACTTGCGGGGTACGGGCTGTGACGAGGCGGTGAAAGTCCATTCACTGCCCGGGTGCCGACCCTCTGTGGTTTCGAATATCCGACATGCACTTCGATATCCATCCAAGGGTGAGGAAAAGAATGCGTAAGCCATCGGCTCATGCATCCGCTCGTTAGAGATTTGTCGGTAAGTGCAGAATGCACCTTGTGACAAATCAGCAACCGAGCAGGTGCCGAAGGATCTCGGCTCGAGTTGCCTCCTGATTGAATCTCTTTTGCCCACCCTCCTCACCCAAGCTTTAAGGGCACTAGGAGTCGTTCCCAGAGGTCGTATCCGGTTGTGATGGTGAAAGTCCATTCACTGCCCGGGTGCCGACCCTCTGTGGTTTCGAATATCCGACATGCACTTCGATATCCATCCAAGGGTGAGGAAAAGAATGCGTAAGCCATCGGCTCATGCATCCGCTCGTTAGAGATTTGTCTCATGATGGCTAGGCCCCGTAGCTCAGGAAACATGCCGGCGACAAACGCAGATACTCAGAAATTAGTAACTTAGGATCTACGCAGCAACTTGCGAACTGCAAAGCAACCCTTCTTGGCACGACAAATGCCCAAGAGTCTCGGATTCCACAAGCCGGTGAGAAGATGTTGAGCGACATGGCTCGAATTTTGTAGTCCTGGTGGTTTCGGCTTGCAACCCAAAACCCCCATGCTTCAAAGGGGAGTTTCCGAGAATAGGGGACCCTGATATAGTGCCCTATAACCCAAAATAAAGTACCCCGAAATGTCGGAAACTCCCATATTCTCCCGAACCAACCCTGACACTTCAACGGCCTCCAGTCCCTCAGCACTGAGCCTTGATCCACAACTTTGTACGCACGTCGAATGTACGGTTCAGACTTCAGGGCCGCGGACGTCGGCCACTACCTATAGTCTCCATTGTAGTTCCTTTTTGGGGTTACCTTATAGGATCCTAATTATATATTTGGTTAAACCCAAAAAAGGAACTACAATGGAGACTATAGGTAATCCACATCGCAACTTCACACCTTTGGGCAGCTGCGATGTCTTATTCCGGAGCCTCTCTGAGTAAATGGCCTGCTCGAACACCGTATTGATAAAGCCTGAACCCTGACCCCCTGAAGTTTGAACCCTGTAGGGCCTAACTTTTCAACGCCGAACCCTACATCCTGAACCCTAAAGCCTAAACCGATTGCTGGTGGAGAAAGGTGCTCAAAAAAAACAAAAAGCCTAAACCGAGCAAAAAAAAACCTGAGCCGGAACCCTGGGCTTAACCCAAAGCCCTCGCTTGCAGGTGGGTGTTAGCACCCTTATGGTGGAGACCCTGAGCTTCAATTGGGCGGGCCGGGGCGCGAGTACTGGAAGTCATCGGGTCCTTCTGGGAAGGCGGGGTCCTAATAGTTCCTAATATAGAGGCCTTCATAATTAGAACAGGGTTTTGGGGTGCAGTATCGTATAGTTATAATGCCTTAACAATTAGAATAGGGTTTTTGGGGGGTCTATTATCGCATAATAGTTATAATATGGAACCCCCCGAAATAATAGAGGTATTTATTGAGGCCCCTATGTTACATGCACGCGGTTATGCGGGTGCCTTATAGGTTGTATAAGTTCTTTTGTTGATGTCGTTTCGGCTAAGGTTTTATATGCTTAGCTTGTATACGGTCTTCAAGTCTTGCAGGGGTTTTCTGGTTTCAGAAGGGTTCTACATGCTTTTTTTATTGTAAGAGTCCCAGTAGTAAGCCGCAGAAGCCTGTAGATGTCGCCAGGGCTTATGTCAGAGTCGCTGCTACATGTCTGGCAGCCTCGCCATTACCCGGAGTAATGCTCTACCTATAGTCTCCATTGTATTTTTTGTGGGTTGGCATATAGAACCCCAACCATAAAACTGGTGTAAGCACAAACAGGAACCAAACTGGACACTATAGGCAGGGCCTCCATCAGTGTCTTGAGAGACGTTGCTTTTGTTGCGAGCAGCTTATGTGCGGCAGAGCCTGCGGGAACCTCAAAGCAACAAGAGCAGGTGAAGGACTCGAGTCCAAAGGATGTTGCAAGCGGGTCTCAAGCCCCATACCCCAAACTATGTCGGGAGTTCTCTAAACTAGGGCGCCCTTGCACATCCCAAACATAGTACGGCACCCCTAGAACAAGGACCCTAAAAGGGACCCTATTTTTGAGAACCACCCATATCAAGCAGAATATGAATAGTTATCGAGGCTCCACCATAAACCGCCCGAACCCTTATTCCGAAATCCGAATCACCAAAGCACCAGAAACCTGAACCCTCGTTTTAGGGTTTAGGGTAAATCAGCAAGAAACGCGAATACGGGCTAGGGCGCAGGGTTCACGTTCCCATTCCAAGCGCCTGATGTTGAGACCTCTACTCTAGCTAGACCCCTAAACCTTATATCCGGGCCTATACCTCAAAATCCTTAAAGTTCCCCGAAACCCTAAACCTACACCCTAGATCCCCAAAACCCCTACACAAAGCCGTATAAAGCCCTAAGCCCCAAAAGCCCTACATAAAACCGTCTAAAGCTCTAAACCCACTAGGACCTAGGGTTCAGGTTCCCTTATAAGCCCCTTTAAACCAAAAAGGGCACCCTTTTTATTCCCAGGTTACTCTTAGGTCTAGATCCCCTAGAACCCTTAGAGATCCCGATTAAGGAGCCCTTATGGATCCTTGAAAGGGCACCCTTTGTCTAAAGCTCTAAGCCCAGGAACGTAGCGCGGCGCTTCGAAGGTGCCCTGAGCTCCATGAGCAAGGTGCCAGCGCCACTTCCCTGGGTTCTTGTTAGAAGAAGTTCAAGGTAAGTTGCCATAATAAAGAAACAAGCTGCCATTATATATATATATGTGTATATATGTATATATATAAAGAAACCATGAGATATAGAAGTTCAAGGTGGGTGGTTGTCAAAATTAGGGTTCCTGTTTGGGTAACCTAAATATTAGGTGCCGTATTATAATATGGACCCAAAAAGGGACCCTAATATTGACGACGACCTAGGTAAGTCGCCATAATAAAGAAACCATGATGTCTACTAAGGATCCCTGTGTAAGTTGCCGTAATATGTGTATATATATATATATAAAGAAACCATGATATGTATTTACTAAAGATACCTATTATCTTAGTAGCTGAGTAGGTAACCCTTGTAGGGTTTAGGCTACTATCAGGGGGTCCTTTAAGGCATCTTTTGGGCTACTATTAAGGGTGCTCCAAGGGTTTACGTAGGGATAAACTTTAACCTATTGGGGTGAAAAAACTCCTACCATACTTGAAAAGGTTAACCTTTTTTATAAACTCCTACCATACTTGGAAAGGTTCGCCTTTTCTGGGCTACGGTATTCAGCCCCTAAGTCCATGTAAAGCCGAGGCAAAGTTTGAGGTTCTTTGCGCCAGTAGGGCTTAGGGTTAAGGGTTTAGCGTTTGGGGGTCCGGGAAAGGATAGCTGCCTTTCAAAGTTCGTATAGCCCTGCTTGTAATAGTACTTTGAGCCATACTTAATTACTCCTCCCAAGAGCCTCTCAGCTAAGGATTTTCCAGGGTTGAGCTGTGGAGCGTTCATTAAGGCTTAAGGAGCACCAGTCAAACTGAGAACTGCATGCAAAAAACCCGAAACCCTAAACCCCTAAACCCTAAACCCTAAACCGAAGATTGAGGCTTGAGGGTTCCCTCAGCACAAGCCTGAAACAAGCAGCCGGTGTGTCACAGGCGGAGCAGAGCCTCAGTGAGGGCTCTGAGTGCCGTCTGCAAATCAGCACGACTTTGTAGAATAAAGGGTTTGGGGCTGCTTGAATTTGAGGTTTGGGGGAGGTGTAAGGGCCTTAAAGGATTTATATAAGGTGTTTATGGTTTCAAATCTTTTCAGTTGAGCTTTCAACGGGCTTTCTCTTGAGGGATTAGGCTGCGCTTTTCACTTTTGGGTTTGCGGTTTTAGGGCCTTCCCACCTTTGAGAGGGTCGGGCTCTGTTGAGGCCCTCTTGCAAATTACCGTGCCTGTTTCTTTAGATACAACCCCAAGAGGTTTTACTCATATCGATGTTCCTTGGGGTGTGGTTTGTTGCGGAGCAAGGTAGCTTGTTCGAAGCAGCAAGGTTCGAGGACCTTTGCGGCTTCGCGGGTGTTGGTGTGGAGAGCTGCTTTGCCTCAACACCCGCGTTGTCCCGTATAGGGTTTACCCTAAGGCCCTAAAGACCCCTAAACTACCCTAAACCCCTATAAGACCCTAACACCCTAAACCCCCTAAGACCCTAAACCCTATAGGATCCCTTAAAAAGAAATCGCTGAAGGATGTGGAGGAAGACCCCATCGAGGACGCCACCTTCCAGGAGGCGATGTCGGCCTACACCATCCATGGCAGGATGGAGAACATCGTGAAGCTAGGCTGAAGATCGAGGGCTTTAGTCTTCAGGTTCAGGGCTTATGGGTTTAAGGTTTACTTTAACCCTGAACAACCTATCTTTTGAGGGTTCCCTATTATGATTTCCTTATATAAGTCCTTAAAAAGGTAGGTTCTTCAGGTTTAAGGTTTAGGGTTTAGGGGACAGAGGAGATCAGGGGTTAAAGGTTGGGGGTATACGGGCAAGGCTTGAAATGCGTCTGGCCTAGCATGATACACGTGGGAGTCGTCCTTTGTTTTGGTATTGAAAGGGTCAGCGGACGCCTAAACCCTAAATCCTAAACCGAGTCGGTTTCCGAGTGGGGCGCCTGCATGGATTAGCACCGCTATCACCAGCTGCGGTACGGGGCCGGAGGTGGCCAGTTTACAGGTGCATGGACCTGACGAGAAACCTTAATCACTAAACCACACCAGAACCCTCCAAGGTACCTTTACCACGGTCCTTGATAGCACGTACTCAGCTTATCTCCGAAAGTACTGGAGGATCAGGATGAGGCTGGCGTAAGCCTGAAACCGCCCTCGGAACCACAACTCAGAGCTTTAGCTCGCCCAGTGGCCGCCTTTACTGTAACCTTTGCATTAGCCCTTCTGAGTGAAGCCCATGACAACGGAATCGGAATCGGCCCTATAACTGTAGTCTCCAGAGTCTCCATTGTCGTTCCTGTTTGGGCTTACCTTATAGGGTCCTACAAATATAGTTGGATACGCCGACTTAAACTGAAGCACAATGGAGACGGTAGGTCGAAACTGACCATCTGAGGTGCCAGATGGAGATTCTCTTAGCTGAGGTTCTCGACACATTGCCCTTCGTGCCGCACAGTTCGATTGCGGGTCTTTTTCCTCTAAATGCCAAATTCTGGAGCTGCTGCCAGGAGCCCCCCGTCTCTTCTAAAAATCTTGATGTTCACCCCTAAAGCCAAAACCTTAAACCCTAAATCCTAAACCAGGGTTGGATAAGAAGGAGCTCTAAAAACCAAAACAGGGTTGGGGCTTTGGCGGAGGGTAGAAGCCAGGGTTCAAAGTTGCCCTAAACCCCAAACCCTAAACCCCAAACCCTAAAACCCTAAACCCCAAACCCTAAAGCCCTAAACCCTAAAACCCTAAACCCCAAACCCTAAACCCTAAAGCCCTAAACCCTAAATCCCTAAAACCCTGCTTCAAAGTTCAGGGTCGGGGTCCAGGACACTCCAAGATGAGCTTCAGAGAGGCCTTGGGGGGCCCGGAGTAGTGAGCCAGAGACTCCAGGGTTGGTTTAAAGGGATCTTTAGGGTTTAAATAGGGTTCAGGGGATTCTAATTGCCTTTAATTAAGGAATATACCTAGGGTTCCTTTAAGGGCTGCTTTAAAGGGATCTTTAGGGTTTAAATAGGGTTCAGGGGATTCTAATTTCCTTTAATTAAGGAATATACCTAGGGTTCCTTTAAGGGCTGCTTTAAAGGGATCTTTAGGGTTTAAATAGGGTTCAGGGGATTCTAATATCCCTTAATCAAGTAATATACCTAGGGTTCCTCTAAGGGATCTATAGGTGAGACTCTAATAACTCGAATACCCCTTAATTGAGGAAGATACCTTAAATCATATAAGGGATCCTAACATAATTTAAGGAAGATTCATTAATTCAGTGATATTGGAGTCTCTGGGGAGTGCATGCCATAGAGTTTAGGGTTTGATGCAGGGTTTAGGGTTTAGGGTGGTTGCAGGATAGCTTCAATAAAATCTCCGACTCGAGTTCTCCAGGCCCATATCCATATATTGCTAAAGGTACATGGTCCCAAATAGGGGTCCTTGTCGGGTACGATACAGTCAGGCTTCCTTTAAGGGTTACTATGAGGGTTCTGTAAGGGTTTAGGGTATAAGGGTCCATGGTCCCCAAGAAGTGTCAGCGGAGGAATGAAGATGCCATGGGCCGCTCGGCCACAGCAAAGCGGAAGCTAAACTAACCAGTGGTTTTGGGGTTTCCCGTGGCTCTTTAGCTCCTTATTAATAGGGACTATCATCATTCCTGGCTCCTTAGCTCCCCCAATATCAATGGTTAGTAAGCCCACAAGCCTCACTTCCAGGCCCCGAAGCTTGAACGCCAGAAGCCCTCAAGGAATTCAGACCACCCACTCTACTTCGGTGTCATACAGCAAGTTCATAATCAGGAAAACCGCTAAACACGAAGGTCTTCTAGCCCAGGGCCCTCTTATCTGAACAGCTCAGTGTGCCGGAGATTCGGGTTCGGGATCAGGGCTTCGCAGCACGGGCGCGGTAGCTATAAGTGGGGTTATAAGTAGGATAACTGGCTTGTATCTGCTTTACAGATTTGAGCTGAGTCTGCACGGCACTGCTGTCACCTCCTTCATCAGCATCACCCCACGTGACGACCGATCCGTCGTCAAGAATCGCGGCAAAAGCTCCGTAGGAAGCTTGGACCTGCTGGACATTCTTCAGCTGGTTTTGCACGGAACTGCAGTCCCCTCCATACTCAACAGCCCCCCACGTAACAACAGATCCATCAAGCAAGATCGCAGAGAAAGCCGCATAGGAGGCTTGGATCCGCTGCACGGTTTTGAGCTGGTCTTGCACCGAGCGACAGTCACCACCTTCCTCAACCTCGCCCCATGCCACAACCGAGCCGCTGTCGAGGATCGCAGCGAAAGCTGCAGTCGTGGCTTGGATATGCTGCACACTCCTAAGCTGGTCTTGCACGGCGCTGCAATCACCTCCATACTCAGCCTTGCCCCATGCAACAACAGATCCGTTGCTCAGAACCGCAGCAAAAGCCGCAAAAGAAGTTTGGATCTGCTGCACACTCTTTAGCTGGTTTTGCACGGAACTGCAGTCCCCTCCATACTCAGTGTCGCCCCATGTAACGACTGACCCGTCGTCCAGGATTGCTGCAAAAGCAGCATTGGAGGCTTGGATCTGCTGCACGTTTTGAAGCTGGTCTTGCACGGAACTGCAGTCCCCACCACACTTGGCATCGCCCCAGGCAATCACAGATCCGTCTCCCAGCACCGCAGCAAAGGCCAAGCCAGAGGTGGCGATTCGCTTGACTGATTTGAGCTTGTCCTGCACGGCATGCTGTCACCTCCTTCATCAGCATCAACCCACGTGACGACCGATCCGTCGTCAAGAATCGCGGCAAAAGCTCCGTAGGAGGCTTGGACCTGCTGCACATTCTTCAGCCGGTTTTGGACGGAACTGCGATCCCCTCCATATTCAGCATCTCCCCACGTAACAACAGATCCGTCTCCGAGAATCGCAGCGACAGCATGTTCACTGCGAGATACCTGGACACCTCTTATCTGGAACATCAGAGAGTCTCCACTCTGCAGCTTCGCTTTCTTGACTGTCATGTCTCCATCCAAAACAGTTCCTGAAGAGTTCAGCAGCTGTCCACCACCAACTCCCAACGCTGTTTGAGCACTGCGTTTCAACGTTTCCATGCGTTCATCAGCTGCAGCTTTTAGGGTGACCGTTCCGCCACTGATTAGGCTGACATCAACGGTGACTGACATGGCGAGTGATTTCAGGATCCCGAAGAACTGTCCCGGAGCAGCTTCAACTGAAGAAGTTTGGCCCCAAACCCTACAGCCCATGAGCTAATCCTAAACATGAAGTAGTCTGTCATAACCAAGCCCTGAAGTTTGAATTGTGCTTCACCCTGAACTTAGCACCGGAGCCTGCAGAACGTGAACCCTAGACCTGAAGCCTAAGCCCTACTACAGGGGTCGAAATAAGAAACATCAATGTCCCGGTAGTGTCGCCTCATTGCCCCTGGATAGTCCTTAATTGGACTACTACACCATGATACAACTCCGAGTGAATCACCATTAAGGCCCCAAACATAAAGGCCTAAATCAATACCAATACTATTGTGGGCGTTCGTTATTTGTCACTATCGTATGACGTGCCCCAAAACCCTATTCTAATGATTAAGGCCCCTATATTAGACCTGCCACCGAAAGCCCACGAGATGAAAGAGAGCGCCTTGTTTGGTTTCCGGGTTCCCATCACTCTTGGCGATTTTGGGATTTGTGGGCTTCACCTTTTGGGGTTTAGTGCATGTAAGATCGCTCCCAGGCGGGGATTCAGCAACAGCAAAAGTTTAGGTGCTTCGACGATGGGACAGGGACTAGGATGCCCAGTAGTACCCTTATTCCCTTTTTGTAGTCCTAGGTTCCTTATAAAGTTACCCAATACCAAAAAGAGAGGCCTTTTTATTCTTAGGTTACTGGGTATCCTAGGGAAACTTTCGCAATTCTCAGGCCATGGCTTGGATGTCCTCACTGGCAAAGCCATTGGAACGGAGCTCAAGAATCCACATGCCGCTTGGTTGGGGGTGTGAAGTTTTCGAGGTTTTTGGGCGGGGGCATACGACTGAGAGTGCACCGGTTTCTGTACCACCTCTTCGTAGTATAGTGCCCCTAATAACTAGAATAGGGTTTAGGGGCCATTATACTATAGTTATAACAGGAACTCCCAACGTAGTATAGGTAATTATTAAGGCCCGTATACTACCACGTCTTCGTACCCCCTTCTCTTTCCAGCCTTGGGTTTCTGCAGCGTTGAGCAGTCAGCTTCCACTGTTGAAGGCTGTTTTGTTGCGAATAAGCCTGACTCAATCCTTACGGCCTAGATTCCTTGTACCCTTAAGCCCTAACCCTGAACCTTACAGCCTTCCCAAGGAAAGCAAGGTGAACATTACGATGGAAAGAGTCGTCGAACTGCTCACAGTGCCTGGGCTGCCGGTTGCTGCTGATATGTAAAGGGTTTAGGGTCTAGGGTTTAGGCGGCAGTGATGACCACCGCGACACTGGTGACCATGATAGTGACCAAGATGTTGCGGATCATACTAACATGCTGGCTTGATGCTGATGATGCCGATGTGTTGGCGATGGCGACGATGACGACAGCTATTTGATGATGGTGACTTTCATGGACTGCTATAGCCGTGTCAATAGTCAGTGGGTGGTTTCTCATCATTGGAAGCACGCTCTTATAATGCTGTCCAGTCGCCATATGGGCACTGCCATATTCATGCGTTTCTGGCGAAAAAGACAGGAAGCTTGGACAAAGACTCCGAGAAGAACACCTAAGTTGTACACCTGTCTACTTGGTAAGTTCGAGCATGCTCTAGCAATTGTACTTTGGGGGGCATCTTCGGCACTTAAAGGTTCGTGGCCAGGCACAGTACCCTAAACGCTAAACCCTAAACCGTATGGCAAGAGGCATCTTTGTGGGACCAAAAGAAGCTACGACCCTCGTTCTAATCCTGTTTGCCGAGTCCCCGGAGCCTCCAGTGGACCCCAAACCTCTTATAGAACTCTATACTACTACATACACTACAGAGCCCAACTAAACCCTTTAGAACAAACGCACATAGAGACCTACAAGAGTGCTCTTTGTCTCAGACCGCCAACCTTAAACACCAGGTCTTCTGAAACGATGGATTCGGGGTTTTGGGCCGTCCTGAAATGCCACGAAGCCTGCACCCAATATGCCCAAGGCGATTTTCATCCTTAGGGTTGAGGGTCCCTAAACCCTGAACCCTAAAACTTAACTCTCCGCCAATGGAAACCGAACACCCTGGATCCATGCCCCAAAGACTACACCCCAAAACCCTAAAGCCTAAACCCCCAATCCCCTAAAGCCTAAAGCCCAAAAAGAGACCAAGCACAATGGAGCCATGCCGCTGCTTCAAGCGACGAGGCCTTGAGTTCCGAAGCCAATCGCTTCGACTACGAAGCTTGGCTTAGGGTTTAGGGTTTAGAGTTTAACGTTTAATTAGGGTAGTAGTAGGGGAGCCTACAAAAAAGGCTAGATTTTGGGTTCCACCAAACCAGGGAATTGCGAAGTTAAGGGTCAAGGGTTTCCTGGATTCCCGTCCCCCTCCCCTTATGATGGAAAGTCTGCATGGCCTCTCCCCAAACACTTCGCTACTCAGTAGTACTAGTAACAAGTACTACAGGCTTTTGTGGCTCAGCCGGGTTTCCTTTTTGCTTTGCAGGTTTATGTGTTTATGGGTGCAAGGATCTTAGGTTTACCCTCCGTCCGGGGATTTCTCGTCGTGGAGTGCGGTTTGGAGCGACGGGGCGGTTATTTGTGAGAGGGTTTGGGTTCTGGGTTTGGGCTTTAGGATGTAGAGGCCCCTAAACTAAACCCTAAACCCCTAAACCCTAAACCCCTAAACCCTAAACCAGACCTTGCCAGGCTTTGTCCGAGTGTGAGTGTCAAAAAACCCTACACCCCTAAACCCTAAACCTCTAAACCCTAAACCCTAAACCCCTAAACCCTGAGCCCCTAAACCCCTAAACCCTAAACCCCTAAACCCTAAACCCTAAAGCTCTAAACCCTAAACCCCTAAACCCTGAACCCCTAAACCCTAAACCGTTTAGGGTTGGCTTCGGACGCAGAGTTCGGTTTTGCGGTCTCGGCCTTCTGTCGTCGGCTCCGAAGTCCTACGGAATTCTGCGGGTTTGGTTCAAACGGTTTAGGGTTTAGGGTTCAGGGTTTAAGACTTACGGAATTCGGCGGGTTTGGTTTAAAATCTGCAGTGCTTTCGTAGCCGTTGGATTGAAGGGCACACATACATACACATACATTTAGGGTTTAGGGTTTAGGGTCATATATGTGTACTAAAATGTATCCCCCGAAGCCCCTTGCATGCCTGAGGATTCGTGGCTGGTCATCGTGCGGGATAACAACGACTACATGGAAGAGTTGGTCCAGGCGCCGCTGCCACCATTCTATAAAGTGGATTCATGGTTTCTTCAAATGGGAGTTTCCGGACATTAGGGGTACCTTATTTTGGAATCCTTAAACCAAGCATCCTACTTTTTAGGTTGCTATATTAGGGTCCCCCCTCTTCTCGGAAACTCCCAAACTTGTTCGAGGGAGCACCCAAAATACATCGAGAAAGATACCGAAGCTCACACACGGAAGCTCTTCGAACTGAGAGCCGAGACATCCAAAGCTGAGCCCGCAACTCCAGATTCTCAACACTGAAGGTCTTGGGCTTAGGGCCGAGGGCGTATAGAGTTCAGGCTTAGGATTTAGGGCTTGGGGCTTATAGGGGCCTAGGAGTGCCATGCAGGACACCAAGCGCACAAACTTCCTTCGTGTACCTTGGCTCAGGTGCTTCGGAGCACCCCAAACTCTATCAGCGAGCCATTGTAGCCAGCGCGGTTACAGGGTGGTTGTAAGTACCTTTATTTGGGCTCTAAGTAATTGCATAGTATAAGTGTTGCAGCCCTCGGATTCTGTAACCAACTTGAGCCGGAGACCCCTAACTGCAAGTTTTAATGCTCACGAGCGCTGTGCTCAAAGCTCAGAGCCTGTCCAAACCGACATCCACACCAGCAACCTACATCCCCAGCCTTAAATGAAGGCTTTGGGGTTCCCTAAACCCTAAGCCCTAAACCCCTAATTCCCTCAACCCTAAGCTTGAAAGCCTCAAGCCACACATCTTCAACGCACGTTCCGTGCAGGAGTTTAAGGAGCAGAAGCACGAAATCCGGAAGATGCTCATGATCAATTCGATTGAGGCCGGCAGGTTTAGGGGTTGTAGGGGTTTTAGGGGTATAGGGGTTTTAGGCGTTTAGGGTTTTAGGGGTTTGGGGGTTTTAGGGGTTTGGGGGTTTGGGGGTTTAGGGTCAGGGGTTGTATGATTCCACAAGCCTGAAGAAGTAGCAATAGCATAGTATTCAATATCTGTCCCGTCATAGTTGATCCATGGGTCCTGCATTACACAGCCTGTACAGTATCGGGAGTCTTGGGGGGTTTAGCTTCAGCTCCCTTGCAATCCTACTGTTTTAACGGACATAGTGATTCTAATGCCAGCATACCAGGAACCCTTAAAGGTCAGGATTCAGGATAGCGATAGCGCCCCATTTTGGTCCGCAGTTTACCCATGATACAAAATACTTAATGCCATCTAGGTCCTAGATCTCAAGAACCTTTCTAACTACAAAGGCCTGCATTTACATGTGAAAACCGGCTTAGGTATACAGGCTTGACGAGGCCCTCAGGTTCTTGGTCTGCGAGATGCCATTGAGGGTTCCTTGTTTGGTAGAATAAGTGTTCTAACACAACAGGTCCTAAGGACCGAATTAGGGGGGACTTCACCGATAGTAATTGCCAGTATAGAAACACCGCTTTCTGCTATGTAACACCCTGTGGGTACTTAGGGTTTAATGTTGTTAAGGTTTTCTGGGATGCTGCCTTGCAGGTTTTATGTGTAGTCTCTTGAGTGTTTTGGCAAAGGGCTGCCGCAGCAAAGTCGATGCCTGTCTTTCCTGTTTGCAACATTTCCTTCTCTGAGCAAACGGTTTATTCTTCTTTTGGGTGTCCTTTTGTCCAGGATCTTATCGTGCAGGATCGATCTTTCTCGGACCCACGAAGAGTACACCACTCTTATGCCAGCGAGCCCCTAAGAAGGACCCTCAAATAGCAAACTGCAAAGCATGTGCATCTCACAGTGCAGTTCCGGCGGCCAGGCCAGTGAATTCCTGAACAGCAGGCTCCTCATCGCTGCGACGAACTTCACCAAGCAGCTCATTCTGCAGCATTGACAGCAACTTTCTTGTAGCTGCCATAATCTGTCTGGAACACGATCCTGGATCTTAATCATCCTTAATCCCTAACCAATGATCTAGGATTTTTGAGCATTGTAAGCACCTTTGAGGAGCCCAAACCCGAAAGCACCTACGCCTCAACCCCAAGCCCAAAATCCCAAACCCTACCCAATGAATACACTCGACGTTCAAAACCGGAAAACTAGTATAATTCCTTATGGCTCTAGCAAAATTTTTAGAATTAGTAAGAACTCAGGTTTTTTGGTTTAGAGCTTCTGTGTCTTTTGATTCCGGGGTATTACCTTTGAAGATCTAATGTACAGGGATGTGGGTTTTCGCGTCCCAGACTCCCTGCAGGTGTTGGCATCAGAACCTCGCTCCTCCCATTTGCGAGTGCTGGCAGCCTCCTAAGCATAATTACATCCTTCATCCCCCCAAAGCCTTGAGCCCAATCGGGTCATATTCTGAATCCCTTCTGCTCCCTGAGCACCCCATGAGGTGGTTCGAGAAGATGCGTAAGCTCGCCGATGAGTTCGAGGAGAGGGGTTCAGAGTTTGAAGCTGTGAGTTCGGGCTCTTTGGCACCCTACTCAATCTTACGACTATTCTACGGGGATATATATATATAACATGTATACATGTATGTGTATATATATATGTACATATGTATGTGCATGTATGTTTGTGTAGATAGATAAAGACGGAGCAGTAGACAGCATTGTGCTCAAGGGCTTCTCTCCCCATCCGCCGGAAGTTCTCCAGAGGATTTCGTGGCCAAGCAGCGGATGACGCGAGGCACGTGGCTGTGTTCAGCGCCTAATACAGAAGCCTGAATAATTACCAATCTTGTTCCATTGGGTTCCGTGAATGAACTCCTTACAAATTGCTTTCTAATGCTCCTATAGTAGCTATAGCCCATTCACTGGACTTCGATATCTTTTGAGCTTGTGGTCTTAAGATGTCCCGAGTCGAAGCTGTGAAGTTGTTCCATAGCCTGCGTGCTCCACCAAAAGAATGGGGGAACTTGATGTAGTACCCTAAATAAGAGGATCCTTATTACCTGAAGGACCAAATGACCCTGAAAAATAGGAGCCCTATCCCCATATACTATGAATCCCTATAATGGTGTATGAACCTTAAACCCTTTTAGGGTTCATTTCGTCCTTAAGGTATAAGGACTCCAAAATAAGGTACCCCCTAATTTTCGGAGACTCTACACTCTAAACCTTATATAGAACCCTTATAGATCCCTTGACGGTACCCCTAATTTCGGAAGCTCCCAGGTGCACCGGATCGGATGCTGGCCAGGGATCGTTTCCTACTCCATTCTCGCCTGCGGAAAGAGCACTTCGGTGCGGTTTGGGGCTGTTTAGGTCTTAAAGTCAAAGGGGATCAGGGTGTTCTAGGACCTAGAGTAGGCCCTTATTCCCTTTTTTAGGGTTCAGGTTCCCTTATAAGCCCCTTTAAACCAGAAAGGGCACCCTTTTTATTCCTAGGTTACTCTTGGGTCTAGTGTTTCGGGATTCGCATAGGAAGTCGGGGTTCAGGATTTCGGACTTTAGGGCTCAGGGTGCGGAGTAGACAGGGTGACGTCATCGGTTTCAGGTTCCGAAGCAGCTTTTGCTTTTTAGGGTTGGGTGTAGGGTAGTTTTCCTGTACCTGGACCCCAAAAGTACGTAGAATAATAGCCCTTTATAGGTTTTGGGCCATTGTTTAGCCTACTGTTTGGGGGTTTTGGTAGTCACATGTTCCCGAGATGTTGACGGCGTCCAACACGCGTGCAGATGTCCAATGAGTACCTAGGTAGTCGAATGTAGGGGTTTCTACAAGTGGGGTTAGTATTTTGGTTTGGGCAAGTATCGCAAGTATCCCCCATATATAAGCATTTAGGACCGTTCGGGCCTTCAGGTTGACCGTAAAGAGCCAGAGCCCCGGACATTTCTGAAGTAAATTGTTATCAGGCGTCGTTTGTTGGGGATCCGTGTGGCCTCAACTTCCCAGGGTCCCCTCTGGTAACTATTCATAGTACCCACGATGTTCCCTATAATATCAGAAGAACACTACATCATACCCCGAGACCCTGTTCTGATAATTGAGGCCACTATCTGACGGCCTATTCAAGGCTTACATTAAATTGGATCTGTTCTCAAGTGACCCCGAGGACCTCCACAAGAATGCACGAAATCCGGGAGGCCTTGAAGAAGCAGGCAAGGTCTGTCGGAGTTTGGGATTTTGAGCCCCGGGATGTGTCCGCCCCCCCCCTCCCGCCCCCGTTGTGGTGTGGTGCTTATGGTCTTGCTTGGGTGGAGCCTGTGGTGTTCGCTATTTAAGGAGGCAGGAACACCGGCCCAATCTAAGTGTTGTGTTTGCGCCAGCATGCCACCAATCAGAAGCTGCAATTTTGGCTGACTCGTCGCATGCTGCGCGCATGTTGTAATTACATTGGGTTGGCTGCTGAGTAACTACAGAGCTAGGAAGGTTTGAGGGGTTGAGGGTGTGAGTTCATGGTTTTCGAATGTAATTGAGGCCTGGAGGATGAAGGATTTCCTGGACACGGGGTATTCGGGTTTATAGGCTCAGCGCTGCTTCTGGCTTAGCATACAGGGTGACGAGTTTAGCGTTTAAGGTTGTGCGTAGGGCTTGAGGTCCAGATTGTTGGACTTCGAATTTTAGGGCTCAGAGCTTGATTACGGTTTGGAGCTGAGCGCCAGCCCTAGGAATCAGGGTTTTTGTAAGTTGAGATGTAGTTTCAGGAGTTAGGGTGGAGGGTTCAGGTTGGTCTTGATAAGGGTCCAGGATTAGGGGCTATGGGGTGAGATCGTAGAATTTCTGGTCGGCGAGCCCGCCGAAGAGCCACGGAAGCATGCACTGTTGAGATCCACGCCCCCTTATACAAGGCCTGACCTCCGAGACTTGATTTCTTCGTGTTTAGGGACCTTATCTCGACATCAAGCTCTGACCCCGAGTGGACTACCTAACTACCGAGAACTGCAGCACGAAAGCTTCAGACTACTGACTGTTTCGGGGTCGGACTGCTATCCCTTTCTAGTCCCTCATAAGTTCAATACAATGGAGCCCCAAGAACCTATTCTAATCACCCAGGCCGCTATGTATACCCGGGAGGCACTAGGGAGGCAAATGCAGTGGTTGCGAGCATGAGTTCAGCCGTTAGTTCAAGTCACCAGGATAGTCATCCGTCGCATGAATATTGTTATTTCCCTTTGTATAGCATGTGCAACATATGAGCATTCCTTGACAATAACCCGCGTCGTTGACAGTTTGCGTTATCCAGCTTGTCATACTATGGGGGGGGGCCTCAATAAATAACAATACTATTTTGGGGGTTGCCTATATATAGTATAATGGGCCTAAACCCTATTCTAGTTTAAGGCCCCTGTATTACTCGCTTCGGTCGCCTCCCCATACCCTGACCCCACACGCACCACGAGGCGACCTCCAATCACAACCGGCGTCTCGATGCTCAGGTTGAGCTGAGGCGGTTCGGGTTTAGGGCTTTCGGGTTTTAGGGTCCAGGGCTGAGGCGGTTCGGGTTTAGGGCTTTCGGGTTTGATAGGGTTGAGGGCTGAGGGCTGAGGCGGTTCGGAGTTTCCCTTGCTAATCATGCTTGGGCGCTAGGCCTGAAACTGTGCCAAAGTTCCTTAGTACCGGACTCGACTTCCTGTCAATGCAATCTCTGGAGGCTCCGTGTCTCTTGCCTTTAGCCGAAAGCCTTGGCCCTGAAAGTCCTTCACTACGGTTGATGATGATGATGATATATATATATATATATATATATCCTGCATTACCCAGAATAAGGAATATACCATAATTTACATAGTTTAGGGCCCTTAAGGTAATGCAGGGTTTATATCTTCAACAGTAGGATCCAGAGTAGGCTCATATTCCCATTTGTAGGGTTTAGGTTCCCTTATAAGCCCCGTTTTAAACCAAGAAGGGCACCCTTTTCATTCCTAGGTTACTCTTAGGTCTAGATCCCCTAGAACCCTTAGAGATCCCGATTAAGGAGCCCTTCTGGATCCTTTAAAGGGCACCCTTTTCATTCCTAGGTTACTCTTAGGTCGAGTTCGCCATACGAGGATCGAAGCCCTTAAGTTCGGACGCTTAGTTGGGAACCTCTGCGGCTTCAACATCAACACCCCAGTTAAGGGTTTAGGGGTTTAGGGGTTTAGGGCTTACCTTAACCCCAAGTAACCTACCTTTTTAAGGACTTATATAAGGAAGTCATATTAGGGAACCCTAAAAAGGGTTTAGAGAACTCCTCAAGCGTGCAACTTTGCCCGGAGCGAAGAACTCAACCCCGAAACGTCCAACCTCTAACCTTGTAACTCTGAGCTGGCTTCGTGTGAAGGAGCTTTGAGTCAAGTAACCTCTAGGATGCCCAGTAGTACCCTTATTCCCTTTTTGTAGTCCTAGGTTCCTTATAAAGTTACCCAATACCAAAAAGAGAGGCCTTTTTATTCTTAGGTTACTGGGTATCCTAGACCTTGATCATGAAGGTATGCTGTTTATTTCAGATTTAGAGCCGGATCTTGGTCGTCAGCTAGTTTGTTCCCGGAAAACATTTTCTGCATGGTCCTAAATAACTACCAATACTATCTTAGTGGGTCCTTATCATAATTTTAGTATAATGGGCCCCCCAAACCCCATTCAAATTATTAAGGCCCCTATACCCGAAACTCTTGTAGTAGCCCTTATAGTAGTCCTTAAAGACCCCTTTAAATGAACCATATTCCATATTCAGATTAGAAAGGCCCCTAGATCATCCACACCCGAAAGCAGGCCTTCCCCCTTACATCAAGGCCCTATCTAAAGCATGCATGCAGGAACTTGCAGAACTCTCAAGAAACCAAAGAACCCATCTAGAACCTTGGTAGGGCCCTTTGAAAACTTAGAAAACCTCTCAGTGGATTGTGGAATTCAAAAACGATCCCATCCATGTGCGTGCCGATTGAAGCAGGTTGAGTGACAGGCAGGACATGGAAAGGGACGAGAGCGCCTGCATCTGAATTCTCCGGGTTTGGGGTTTCGGTTAAGGGCTCAGGGCTACATTGCATAAACCACTGCCTCTAGGTCCAGGTCTAAAGCTCCAAAATGTAACAAGAAGGGATCCTTATGGTACGGGCCGGTAAAGAAATCGCCCAACGCCCTGGCAGGAACCACTGCAACACTGCGACTTGAGATCTGCCTTACTTCTACTGTTGAGGGAATTATGGTATATTCCTTATTATGGGTAATGCAGGATTTATATCATCAACCATAGTAGCAATCTGCAGATACACGGCTTTAGGGCTAAGAGGGCTTAGGAGCTGGGGCAAGTCGGGATTTATTTTCACTTTCCTTGTGCGATCTTCACGTAATCTGCAAAGCAAGGGCTAGTCGCCCGCCTGATATACTTCAGGCAAGAACCATGCATGTACCCATATAGCATATATTTTGGCCCTAAAGTACATATAAAGGGACTTTTCTGGTTCCAATGTATGTACACGTGAGAACATTGACCCTTAGGGCTGCAACCCTCTGAAAGCCCGAGCCCTGTACCTTGTAACAGTCTGTATTGCCTAATCAAACCTTGCGCCCTAAACCCTGTAACCCTCTCTTCTTGATCCTAGAACCTCAAGCCAAGCAAAGGTGTATAAGCCTCTGAAGCCAACCCTCAACCCGGCTAAAGCCTTGATTCGTTTTCTGTACCCTTGAAGCCTTATGCAACCTACTTCTTCTGAAGCCATAGCCTGAGGCTCCAGTATGTTTTTGATAGGTTTTGAAGATGGTTTCTGGTTCTAATTTCGCAACATCCTAAAGCAAGGAGCGCTTGATGCCTTAAGTATTTTCCGACCACCCAACATGAACCCTAACTTCCTGGGACCCTTATCTTACAGTACCTTGAGCAAATATTATTATGAGAGGAAGCCAAAGTCTTTTTTGTTTAATGGATCCATTTAAGTGAACCCTTCCAGGATCCCCCAAGGGCCTTCGACTAGAGCCTTATGGTCCTTAATGGTGGGTGTTTGGGGTGTAAGTACCAATATGCTCGATAGTAGTTCCTTTTCGGGATTGCCTTCTAGGATCTTAATTATGAACCACAATAAGGAACTACTATGGAGCCGCAGGGAGACAATAGAGGAAAGTTGGGGGGGTCTGGGTTCACCCTTGTTTCACCTATGACCGCCTGCTCGAGGTGCTGCTTTCGAGCATCACAAGCGCTCGCGGAAGCGATTCCTGGCACGACAAGGGTTCAGGGTTTAGGGTACACAATCCAAGCCCATGCTGAAAAGGGTTGAATTAGGGTTTGAGATGAGGGTCGAGGGCTCCGCGTTCTGCAAGGGTTTTTTGTCAAAGGAGTGTCCATTTTAAGGGTTTCTAGTTCAGGGCGTTTGTTTAAGGGTTTCGACGGGTTTGGTTTTTCGAAGCGAAAATAGATTTGGGTTTTTTTGGTTTGGGGTTTTATGGCCTTGGAGGGCTTAGTTAGGTTTTTAGAGGGCTTGCGATGCCTCTGTAGAACTTGCGGCACGAAGTACAGCTCTCTTTCCAGACAAAACTAGCCGGTGCGCCCCGCATCTGCGTGTTGAAGCCCTCTGCTTCCATCCGCAAGGAAAAACCACTGGGGATGCATCCACTGCCCGCCGTTCCTCCCTGGCGAGCAAGAGGAGCAGTCGGGCACTTGGACACACGCACGGGCTTGTGTTCGGGGTTTAGGGGCCCCAACTGCTGCTACGACTGCAGCTGCGCCCCGACGACGACGACGACAGTATGTTGTTGCTACAAACTACTGCTACTACGACTATGATTTTTGCTTGTACTACAACTAGTATAGTACTGCATCAGGTGGCAATACATGGAACCGTTTGTGCTTCGGTTCTTAGGTTTCCCCTCGAGGATGGTTCATTCGGTGTGACGGTTGGTGGTTTAGGTTCACTTGCTGGGTGTGATGCAGCTCTGCTCTGGTATAGCCAATGGCAACTTCGTGTCCTGAAATAACCACTGCGTATTATCATAGTATGCATGATCATCGTATACATGGTTGGGCAGTTCGGGTTTCTACCTAGAGGCTCCATAGTAGTTCCTTTCTGTGGTTCATATTGAGAACCCCATAATTATGGAGCCTATGGGCCTATGGGTAGGGCAGGGTCTTAGAGGGTAATGGCGTGGGCTCCTCCGACAGAACTCTGGCAACTTCTAGCATGCAGAAGCCTCAACTTGAGGATGTACATAGCACGCGAATACCCGTGGTCCACAAACGTGGAATACTGCTTGATCGTCGGTACTTAGAATGTCGCATGCATTTCACCCGGTCTGCTGGCCAGCCCTGGCCAAGCCTTCGGCCCTAACCATAGGTTTTCCAAGGAGCTCAAAAGCATGAACATCATTCGGCAAGCTCCAATCGGAGGGTAGCTGCGGGGTCGAGTCTACACGAAACCGCCCCTAAATCCTCAACCTTAAACCATAGACCCAAAACATCCCTAAACCCTAAACTGTGAACCTATACATCCTAAACATCCCTAAACCCCCAAAATGAAAACCCCAAAGCAGTCCTGAGGCCATATGGAGGAGCAAATCTTCAACTACATCCAGATTGCACGACACCATTTGGACGAGCTGTCTCTCTTGGTTCAGGAGAGGCGTTGGGGGTTCAGGGCTCCAGTTGCGGTTGATTGGAGAAGCCCTGCTGCTCAAAAGGGGCCACGCAAGCCTGGGCTGGTGAGGCCCAACCCCAAGGGTCCAAGTACCTAATAATCATACACTCTCCGAAATCCTAACCTATATACATAACTACTATCCTAAAACCGAGTGCCCGATTATTGGGTCCTTTGGACCCTTGGGGCAACAAGACCCAAGACGCCAGGCCACACCCTTCTTCTCGGTAGTATCCACAAGTCGAAGCACTAAACCACAAGCTCTACGTGCTGGTGTGTCACCAGGGCGCCAAGCTTTTCTTCCGAGCACAATACCCTAGAAACCTAAACTGGAACTTTACTAGCCTTACCGAAAGCCCAAATCAGCGTTCATGGGACTGAGTATGTAAGGTTATAAGTACCTTTATTGGGGTTATAAATACTTATAAGTAATTAGAAGTATGGTTACCCTATTATTCCCAAATTCTAGCATCGGCAACCCCCACACTGAAAGCTGAGAGCCCTCGGGCCCTCGCGTAACGAACGCTAGATCCTTACCTCTCTACCCCGGAACCGGATTTGTGTTTGGGTTTCAGTGTTCGGTTTCGCTTGGTTATAGTAGTAGCCGGTAGTAGCCCGTCATATAGATAGTTCTCTACATCAGGGCCTGATTTTAGATCCCAAATATAGTTCGGCACCCTTTTCAAAAAGGACCCTAAACGGGACCCTAATTCAAATAGCCATCCATAGAAGTACTTTAGGGGCCTCTAGACCCGAAATCCCCTGAACACCAAACTTAAACCCTACCTAGAGTCTCCATTGTAGTTCCATTCTATATTAGGGATCCTAAAAGGGAACCCCAAAAAGGAACTACAATGGAGACTATAGGTAAGCCCTGTAGACCCCTAAACCCTGTATTGTATCCTAGGACCTAGAGTAGGCCCTTATTCCCTTCTTTAGGGTTCAGGTTCCCTTATAAGCCCCTTTAAACCAAAAAGGGCACCCTTTTTATTCCTAGGTTACTCTTAGGTTTAGTATCTGGGCTTTAGGGACACTTTGGGAGGAGAAGAACGAGAAGGAGGGTCGGGCCAAGGACTTTCTGGCTGCAGAGGGTTTAGGGTTCAGAGGGTTTAGGGTTTAGGGTTCAGAGGGTTTAGGGTTTAGGGTTTAGGGTTCAGAGGGTTTCGGGTTTAGGGTTTAGGGTTCAGAGGGTTTAGGGTTTAGGGTTTAGGACGGCAGACTTGAAGGTTTGCTTTAGTCGCTCAATTACTTCCCAGCAGAGGCGTTGCAGGCTGGATGCAAAAAAGGGTTTAGGGTTCAGAGGGTTTAAAGGGTTTCGGTTAGAAGGGGCCCCCACCCTGTAATAGTGGTATAATAGGAATATAATAGGGCCCTAATATCATCCTTATATATCCTTCTAGTCACTATTACAGGGTGGGGGCCCCTTCTATAAGGTTTCGGTTTAGTGTTCAAGGTTTTGGGTTCAAGGGGTTTAGGAGATTTTAGGGCTTAGAAAACTTGGAGTGTAGGGTCCATCCAGGCGCTAAAGCCCGATGACTCCAAGTATACAAGTAGTACCTACTTTGCGGTTTAAAGTCTATAACTACTACCTACTTTGGGCGATTTGGAGTCTTAGGGAAGGGGTTTTGAGTTCAGGTTTAGAGTGTACAGCTTTGAGATCAAGTCACTGGAAGCTCTCCGGTTCCGCTATTTGAGGGGTTGGTTTCCCATAGCGGCCTTCATGTTTACTTATACTAACCTGGGGGGCTCCTTATTATAAGTATAGTAGAATGGGCCCCCAAAACCCTATTCTTATTCTTGAGGCCACTACATTATGTTGCATTTAGGCCAGTTGGGTCCTGAGCCTAGTTTTGTATTCAGGGTCCCAAGCCCTGGTGACTTGCTGCAAAGCTTCAACCCTACTTCCACCTCCCTCCACTGTAATCGTACATTCCCGGCTGCACAGTGCACCAAATTAGGACTCCAAAGGGTTGAGTCTGAGAGGACAAGGCGAAGCTTTGCTCACAGTCCTTGCTCTAGAACTCTTGACCCAAGACTCTGAACAACGATGCCCCAAGGACGTGCTTTTGAAGTTGCACTTCAAGCAGCTCGCCATGGAGAGAAAGAAGCTTCGCGCAGCGGCGAAGGACCGGCGAGAAGAGCCGAGAGATGTATATATGCATGTATATGTACACTCTAGGGACCCTTGTGGTCCGTTTACGGGCGTCTTCGAAATAATTAACCCGGTTGGCGATACAGGGACCCGAGTATCAAGTACTTATCCCTGATAGTGCGTTTGCAGACCTTTAATCATGTACGCCTAAGTCTTTAGCATCGTTTGGCCTTCCAGGCCACACCAACCGTCCGATTACAGCAACCACACAGCACGATTTCCCGCGCACAAACACACACACACACAGACACACTTAGACCTTCAACCCAAATCAAGAAACTACAAATGGTTGAACAGTGCGGTGCATCTGGCCTCCGTTGTAGTTTCGATGTTGATTAAAAATTTTCTATGCCGAGGATCCATCATTGAGGAAACATGGTAAGCAAAGAAAGGTGTTGCAGCGGAGACCTTTTCATAGACCCCCAGCACTCAGACCTTAAACTCTGTTGAACCAATAAACCCACCCTTGTAGACAACCATTTTGAAAACTGATTTTTTTGAAGCCTGGCAGATCCCTGGGACCCAACTTAACAACAACAGGCAAAGTGTGCCTGGGCTTAGGGTTTAGGGTTTTCGAGGACCCCCAAAACGGCCACGCAAAAGACATGGCCAGCCTGGTAGATGTCACGGAACCCGATTCCGGTTTAAGGAGCCCTGTCAACATAAGCTCAAGCACTAAAACCCTATAATCCTGAATCCCTGAAACATCAAGCGGGTCCAAGCGCCCAGAACCCCTATATGAGTATTACCAAAGGACAAACGTATAAACCCGCCAACGGAAACTCAGAATCCTTTTGCCTGAATCTCCGACTGGGCCGGCTCCCTGACCCTAAACCGAGACTGTCTCACTCAGCAGACTCCGAACCACATGCCTCGCCTGGATTGTCCGAGCGTGAGCTCCGAAACCGAGATTGAAAATCCCGAACACTGCAAAAACTGACCCTAAGCTCTATACCCTAACCCTACCCTAAACCTAAACCTAAACCTTACCCTCAACCCTAAACCCTAACTAAACCCTAAACCCTCCCAACATCTCTGAAACCTCGGAGGGCTCCAGCACCTTCGGCTCCTCCGCCTTCGAAAGCGTGATGCCTGGGAGATCTGCGCGGAGCCTGGCAACATTCGGTTTATCGTTTTTAGGTTAAGTTTAAGGGTTCAGGGTTTAGGGTTTAATGTGGCAACCTGAGTAATATGCTCAAAAAGACCTTGGTCCAGTAGCAAAGCAACATCAAAGGCATCCTTACAAGGGCTTCTCATGGCTTTCGGATCCTTGTGTTTTGGGCTCCGAGGTTGACCGTTTCAGGGAGTTACGAGTCTAGGATGCTTCAGGGTTGAAATAAATAAAGATTCATGACACCATGGAGGCTTGGGGGGTTGAGCAGATTTGAAAATTGAACACGGATCCAATGTGCACCCAGATGGATTGTAGCACAATTCAGAGAAGACAAGTGCAAAACCCATTGTACAAGCCCGATTTAACACTAGTTCGCTTAGATCCGACGCAGCCGTCCGTCCCAAGACTTTATATAGCTTGTGGGGTTCATTTCAACGGTTGCGTTTGGCTAGCAGAGATTCCTGAAGGGGTAATAATGTAATGCTAGTCCTTTGGGTTCCTAGTTGTAGTTTCATATCAGAGTATGTTCCAAGAGCCTATTCTAGTCATCAACTCACCCCAAGGACCAAATGGCCCTTAAAAAGTAGGGGCCCTATACCCATATACTTTGAATCCCTATATGGTATATGAACCTTAAACCCTTTTAGGGTTCATTTCGTCCTTAAGGGCTTAACCGCCCTGAACCCTAAACCTTGCACCCTAAACCCACTAGGTTGGGAAACCTCGAACCGACGATGCAGGCGGCTTTGTACGCCCACAAGAAGCGGCATCAGCATGAGGACCATCCCTCAGAAGTTAAGTTAGCGACCTATAGCCTTGCTTAATGAATTTTAGGGTTGAGGTGTTATGTTCAGGGAGACCTCGTTCAAAAAGGGTAGTTTAGGAGTTTGTTATACTATGGAGGTGGGGCTAAGTAATAGTACCTCGCGGTTCCTTAGTACTAGTAGGACTCTACGATAAAATGCCTCCAAAAGCCAGTTCTGACCATTAAGTTCCCCAGAGACTCCAATACCCCTTAATTAGTTAAGTTATTAAGGAATATTCCTTAATTTATGGTAGGGTCCCTTATAGGAAATATGGTATATTCCTTAATTAAGGGATACTGGAGTCTCTGGGTCCCTATATCACATGCTTACTTCTCAATCTTTACCTACCCTAAGGGTCCGTGTACTCGTTTAGTAGGTAGGTTGGCCCCAAGCTACCTTTGTAGAGACTACTTTAAGTACTACCCATAGGCCTCAAAGTAGTTCCTTTTTGGGATTACCTTATGGGATTCTGCATATGAACTCCCAAAAAGGAACTGCTTTGGGGCCTTTAGGGTAGTAGGACTCTACGATAATATACCTCCCAAAACCAGTTCTGACCATTAATTAAGTTCCCCATATCACGAGGCCCCCAACCTGTAATAGTGACTATAAGGATTACATTAGGGCCCTAGTATATTCCTATTATACCACTATTACAGGGTGGGGGCCCTTCTAATCCCTATATCAGATGCTTACTTCTACAATCTTTACCTACCCTAAGGGTCCATGTACTCGTTTAGTAGATACCGTTGGCCCCAAGCTACCTGTATAGAGACTACTTTGAGGCCGAAGTTCCGAAGTCTACCTAACCATTGATATTGGGGGAGCTAAGGGGCATGATGATAGTCCCTATTGGTAAGGAGCTAAAGAGTCACGGGAACCCCCAAAACCGCTGGTTAGCTATACTATCTGAGTACATGAAGCTTTCTTCCCTAAAAATCCCAAAGTACCCATATAGAACCCTTATGGTACCCTTTCAAGGAACCCCTCTATGGGCCCGTAGAAGGGCCAGTAGCTTGTTTTTGCCATCAGCCTTTTTGCCGCGATGTTTTGTTCGAGCAGATCGAGGCTAAGTACGGAGGAGCTGGAGGCTCGGTTTAGGGCTTACCTAGACCTACTAAACCCTACTTTTTTGTAGGTTCTTATTATAAACCTTTACAGGGAGCTTATAGGAACCCTACAAAAAAGTAGGTTTTGATAGGTTAAGGTAGGGCTTATAAGGAGGCCGCGGAAGGCTCTGAGAAGCTGGAGCCGCTAGAGGTCGCGGAAGACCGTGGGAAAAAAAACACTTCCCTCCGCGTCCCAAATGGCTGGATGCCACCTTGGCGCCGCCACGAACGCAAGGCGCACTGGCGATTCCGTATGGAAGGAGCCGGAGGATGATGGAAGTGCCGCGAATACTCTGGCGAGACCCACCACAGCCTGCGTGGTAGGCCGGCGGCCATGAACCCAGAGACTCCGAAATTATGGTAGGATCCCTTATATGATTTAAGGTAGAATCCTTAATTAAGGGATATTGGAGTTTCGGGGAAGCTATCGAACTATTTGCATAACGGGCTTTTGCTGTTGTCTCTACAAGGAGCCCAATAAGGAAGCACATAGATCCCTTAAAGGAGCCCCTTAGGGAACCCATGCGGGCTTTCGGGTCCTCTTCCCCTTAGGAAACCCTGGGCCTATAACCCAAAAATAGTAGGATTCAAAAAGGAACCCGAATAAAGGCCCAAGATTTCTTTCTTAATCAGGCTGCTACATTATTGGGTTTCAGGGTTCAGGGTTTAGGATTAGGGTATCCGGCAGTCGCAATAGGCCTGGGATTCCTTATTATAAGTATAGTATACTGGGCCCCAAAACCCTATTCTAATCATGAAGGCATCTATACTATAGCTCCCTTGTAGTAACCCTTATGTAGACCCCTTTAAAAGGGACCCTCTACCCCTTATTTACCCGCTTAAGACTCTAAGGAACCCTTTAAAGGAACCCTCTAGAGGAGCCCCATTCTAACCCTTAGGCTCTAAGGACTCATATTTGGCTTTTGGTCCCTTGAGCCTTAGGGTAAGGGTTTGTTAATCAGGTTCCTACATTAGGGTCCTCAGCCCCTACGTTGCCGAAGGACTTCAACGTGAGCAGCCATCTGCTTCAGCAGGCCGCCTTCTGCTTAGGGGAAAAGGTTGTTAGAGTTTATTTTTTCGGGTTTAGAGTTTAGGTTGTTGTTTTTGTTCGGGGTTTTAGTGGTTATAAGGTTTTTTGGTTCTACAAGGCATTCTGGGCTAGTAGGGGTAAGTTGTCAAGGGTTTTCAGGGCGTATAGGGTTTGGGGTTTATAAGTTGCTAAGTTTTCCTTTAAGTTGTGCTTATAGCCACTACCGTCCAGGGCTTCGGGTTTAGGGCTTACGGCTACTAGGGTTCAGGATTTGTAAGGTGTTTAGGCCTTTTAGGGTTTAGGTGTATGAGGTTTGAGTAAGGTTTTTAGGGCTTTCAGGGGTTACAAGGTTTTTGGGGGTGTTCAGGGTTGTTGTTGTAGTTTGGGCTTTTAGGGTTTATTCCGTTTTTTTATTTAGGGCTTGTATGATTTTCTTACTGGGGTAACTTGAACTCACTCGCTTAGCAGGAACCCAGCTGTCGCTGAATAATTAGAATAGGGTTCCTTCCAGGGGTCCTTTAAAGGGTTACTATATGGGATACGACAATATATGGGCATTCCCTAGGGCTCCAGTTACCTAAATAGTAGGTTACTAACCATATATTATGTACCCCAGTAACCTACTATTTAGGTCACTGGAGCCCTAGGGATTCATAGGGTTTAGGGTTCCTTTTAAAGGGGTCTATAAGAGGTAGGGCTTGTTCTCGAGCAGGTCGCCATCTCTCGGGAGCTGAATGCTTTGACGGTGCCCGGGCGGCATATAGAGCCCTAAACCCTAGACCCTAAACCCGGCCATTTTGGCTCAAGTCTGAAAGCCGATGAGATAGTGACGGAGGTGGCCCCCGCACAACAAAGCTCTCCCTTCTGTCTTTAGCCTGGAGGCCCCTAAGGTGATGGAGGCGAATGGTGAAGATGCCCTGATGAATGCTGAAACGCAGGCCTTGGGTGACCTTGACTCTTCGGATGACAGCCCTCTTGCTGCTGCTGCCACTGCTCCGGCTCCCATGTCGAATTCGGTGGCGAATGCCATGCATGCTGCTGATAACAGGGCCCGAGAGGACGCACTTAGGGATGCAGCCAGTGCCGCAGCGGCTTTGAAAGCAGCCTGTGGGAGCGAAGGGGTGGTGCCGGTACCTGCTGTGAATCCGTATGCACTTGCCGCCCCCGTAGCCTCCTCCCTGCCTCCCCCAAACCCTCCGTCGCCTCTGCAAACAGTGATCAAGGAAGCTGGACAAGCCCTGGGAACCCCCAAATCCAAGCCGAAGCGAGACAAGCAAACCGAAAGCCCCGAGAAGAAAGCGAAGCTGGCGAGTGAACGGTCGAGGCGAGGACTGGATCCGCCGCCATTGTTCGGAGGAGGTAGTGATCCTTCGCGAGTCAGCCCGAAAACCCGAGATGCCCCCGCAGGACCAGAGATCTACCACCTTGATCCCCAGACGCCCCCTACATGGGTACGTGATCTTCAGAACATGGTTGCGACAGGCCATCGAGATCTTTTGTCGGAACTTCAGACCCATAAGGTCCACATCTCTGAGGTAGCTGCCCAGGTGCAGGGTATTGATAGAAAGCAAGAAGCTCTTCACCGAGCCCAGGGGGACATGGCTACCCGGCTGGACAACATGGAAGCTGAAGTCAGGGATTTGAGAGCCAAGTCCAGGTCGGTTAGCCCGGCACCACACCGAGCCGCTGAACAGAGTCCACGGGGGTCTACGGCTGCCAGTACTGCAGGAGGTAGGCCTGTTATCGATGACCTCCAAATTGTAATTGGTGGATGGGATGAAGCGAGAAGGGGCGAGGTTGAACAAGAAGTCAGATTGTTATTTGAGGAGATTGAAGCATCCCCCCTCTTGCAGAACATCACCATACCCTTCGTCAGGACTCGGTTTGCTAGGGTGGAGCTCCTGTTCACGAACAGTAACCTAGCAGAAAGGAGACGTATCCAGAGCCTCACGATCAATGCGCTTAAGCAGAAACTTGACGGGTATGTGAGTAGTGTTCCGGGACAACAGAAGGCTAAACTGTGGGTAACACGCAATCGTAGCCGCGAGGATCGAGAGAAAATCCGCGCATTAGTAAGTGTCAAGGAGTGGGCTACCAAACACTTGTCGGAAGCCTTCATTGATTTTGACTGGTCGGGCCGCCTTTGGATTCGATCCGAACAATGCTTGTTCTGGCATCGCTATAAGCAGCCGGATGAGAACTCAATGATGTTGACAAATCAAGCTGGTGATGAAACAGGTTGGTTTGTAGATGTGCGTCAGCTGGGTAGATTACTCTCCATCTCTCCGGAACAGGCCCGCGACGAGCTTCAGAATTGACTAGATAAAGCAGGGGGTTCAAAAAACAGGAAGGGCAGGCTTTCTGCAAGCAGAATTCGTGAATTCGTCGCTGTGACATGGAATCTCCATGGAAAGCACCTTGGCTCCGTTAAGAACTTGCTGGATGAAGTTGAGGGTCCTTTTGAGCTTCTGCTTTTCCAGGAAGTTGGAGGTTTTTCGGATGTCCCTGAAGGGGACTGGCGCACTGACGATATTGATATAAGTGGGTTGGCATACAAGGTCTTTGTTTATCAAACACCGTTGTCTCACCGAGCTACGGCTCTCCTCTTTCGCTCAGACTTGGATTTGCAGATTACGACGAGGCACTCTTTCAGCACAGGGTTCATCCTTCAATGTAGGGCTGAGGGTAGGAACTTCTGGCTTGGGACAGCCCACCTACCACATCAGCAGCGACCGGACGCCGAGGACGTTTGGCTTTCGGATCTTGCCAAAATTGACGAAACGCTCTCTTCTGCACGCCATCATGATGTCATTTGCATAGGAATTGATGCGAATCAACATGTTTTGAATTCAAACCCTTGTTTCCCTGCGTTGTCTCGACTTCAACTTCTTGCACGCCACCGTGGACTGGAATTCAACCAGCCGCTTGGATGCACCTGGACTGCACGCAACGAATCCAGCACGATTGACTGGTTCATTTTCCGTTGGCCAATGATAGAGACTGCGTTCCATCTTAGAGAGGACTGGAGGAGGGCCTTGCCTTCGGATCATAATGCACTGGTAGCCGTGTTTAGTGGGCGAACTGGTCTGCGCCTCCGACCACCACGACCGCGGCATGGGTGTGGAAGGTGGGGTGTGACAGCAGGACCGCTTGAAGCCGCTGCCTCTGATGATTCCTTCATGTTTTCTCAAGAGGCTTTCGCTAGCCTCTGCCAAAAGCACTCGTATAGACTTCCCTCCAGGAGGTACAAGGACCCCCCGGAGATCAAGGAACTCATACGACTCAGGAAGGTCTGCGGTGACCCTGCCCAACGGGAAACGCTAGCTCAGCGAATTGCCCAAGATAGAACCCTTGCACAGAAGCGCCATAAACTTGATTTGCTTGAAGCAGCGAGAGCAGGGGATCGAGGCGCCATTGGCCACCTTAGGAGGAGCTCTGCGCAGAGCTACTCTGATGGCAGTCTTTTGGAACGACTGGGAGGCCATGATCTAGCCTGTGACCAAGTTAGATCCTTTTATAGGCAAAAGTATAGCCGTCCAGCAGCTGAGGGGGAAGTTACGAATGTTCAACAGGAGGCACTTGTGTCGAAGCATGACTGTGCCTCTTTCTGTCCTGTGACCGACGAAGAGATTAGAGAAGCTCTAAGTAAAGTGAAGCTCTCCACGGCGACGGGCTTAGACTCAGTCTGTTATGCAGCCATCAGGACCTTTCATCAACAAGATGCCAAAGGGAAGTTGGCCTCCTTCTTCAATCGCATCTTAGGAGGTGAACTGCCTGTGCCGAAGGAGTGGCTGATCGGTAAGATATGCCTCATTCCCAAGGTCCAGAGGCCCTGTCGAGTCCAAGATCTCCGCCCCATTAGCCTCACGCCGTGCTTGGGCAAGCTTTTCAGTAAAATCATAATGCAGCGACTTCGCCGTACTCTTCCGCCCTTCCAATCTGGGCAACATGCCAACCGTCCTGGAACACAAGCCTTAGAAGCGGCAGTTGCTGCTCAATCAACGATGAAGCTCTACAAACAGGCCACGGGGAAGAGACTCTTGGTCTGTAAGTTAGATATCAAGCAAGCCTTCGACACCATCTCCCATCAGGCCGTTTGGCGTTATCTGTACGATGCAGAAGCTAGTAGGGAGAGTCTTGTACTTTGGCAACTCTGCTGCAACACGGAGGTGAGGCTTCAGTTAGGCTCCAGATCCTGGTCCCAGGCACTGGGAAGAGGACTACTTCAGGGTACCTCATACAGTGCAGACCTCTTCTCTAGGATCATTGACCATTTCCTGGGTGGGCTCCTTCATCGCTGGCAGACAGGGGAACATGAGGTCTTCACCCGATACAGCTTGCCGCATGCTCTCCTGTTTGCTGATGATATACTTCTTTTTGGCACGGACACAAGGGACTTGCAGGCCAAACTTCGGGATTTACAGTTAACCCTAGAATCGATTGGGCTCCAGCTGAACTTGTCCAAGTGCAACATTCTCGATGACGAGGACGGGACTACGCCTGGTGTCTGGGGTAGAAATGCTGTAACACCGATTGCGGGTTCTGAATCCCTCCTTTACCTAGGTGTTCCTCTGTGCTATGGGGGCAACGCCCTAGGAGGCCTGGGCGTGTCCTTGGCTAAAATGTCCTCAGCCTTTTTCGGGCTGCGAAAACTCTTCGATCATCCAGATACCCCAGTCTCCGAGAAGCTTGTACTTTTTCAGACGTATATCACCTCGAAATGGGCATGGTGTGCCCCTGCGGTCTACCCTAGTGTTCAGGCGCTACGTAGTCTGGAATCTTTCAAACATACCTTGTTGCTTTCGCTTTTGAAGTTGCAGGTTGATCCGTTACAGCCGTTCTTAGCAAACGTCCTGGCGCGCCGTCGAGCTGTCAAGGTGACCTGCGAGATTTTCAAATCGAGTAGATGGGGGGAACTCTGGTTGACTAGGTTGTGGAACATCTGGGGCCATGTCTTCCGCAGTAAGGCTGACCTTCCCATCCACAGGATTCTTTCCAGATGTGCCACCTGGAGGATTGTCACTGGAAGGACCCTGCCTGGCCCTTTGACCCACTTCACGCCGAGGAAGCTTCAGCTTGCTTGGGACAAGATGCGGGGGACCTCCCCCTGGCCAGACGTTGAGAGCCTTGCCCAGGAACGCCCGATCTGGACTAAGGCACTGAAGAGCTGGCTCAATAAGTGGGGTTACTCGGGTTCCGACTGTGCTAGGATGCCTGCCAACTATCTCTGTGACAGGCAGCTGCTCTTAGTCGGGAAAACCTTGGCGATTCTGCGCCCAGCCCGCCTTTTCCCGGAAGAGGCATACAGCAGAGAGGTTCAGCATGTGCTTCGGGGAGTCCCGAAAGCCACCCAATGGACGCTGTGGATACGGATGCTCGACCAAGGCACGGAGGTTAGAGTGCTCCCACCTAAGCGATCTGGCGGTAAAATTCTTGTGATACAAATTCAACGCACCAGTGCGAACCTCCTGCAACAACGCCTTCAGGTCTGGGAATGCATTCGGCAGGTATGGATCTGGATGCCCTTCCTGTGGGAGCAGAGAGCGACCATTTTTCTGCCACCGGGGGCTTTTTCGCCACACATCTGGTGCCAGCAGGTACCTCTTGATCAGTTGTGGAGGACAAACAGGCTGCACACCTTCGAGGTAAACCAGGACCTTTTGTCCTTCTGTTTCCTGCATCCTAAGAAAACTCCGGATTGGCTGTTGCACCAGTTGCAGGGACCCTTTGGCCCCTTCCTCGAGGGACAAACGGTGCTGACCCGATATGCAGATTTCAGCCATGCAGTGTACCATACATGTCTTCCCGCGCGCTACCCCTTCCCCCTTGCTGTTGTGGACCTGACGTAGCAGACCCTGTAGCCCTAGTGTCATCTGGAACCCTAGTGTTTTCTCGTGGTGAACAGAGCTGTAGGCATGTTCTTTTCCCCTTCCTGCGAGCCACCCCGAAAACCGAGAGCCTGTCCTTGCACCCAGTTGATGCCCCAGTTCGTTGCAACATGTCAGCTGTGCGATCGCTGCTAAGGCACCTTCTTGAGCTAGAGTGCAGGAAAAAGGGGGGCAGGACGGCCGTGTAATTGCAGTTGTTGACACACGTAGCCGTCTAACGATCTCAAGTGTCAGCCCTCACAGTACCCCTAGCCATGGAAATGCAGTGGGTCGTTCAGTTGCTCACGGTGACCCTCACCCTGCTGGTTGTGGTTGTGGTGAGGGACTTTCAAGCATGGCTCACTGCTCCAAGGACTGCTGCGAGCAACTCCGCGGAGCCCTCCACTGGCGAGACGGTGACGGCACCAACTGAGGAGACCCCGGGCAGCGCGGCCCCCTCTGTACCTACTCAGGGCGATGGCACCAAGGGCGACTTGACCCCTACGGTGGCAGCAGTCACTCCATCACCTGATGGAGATGGTGCCTCGCAGCAAGTGGCAAACGATGGGGATGGCAGCTCGCAGAACGATGGAAAACAGGCCCCTGACTCCGGAAAGGGGATCACGCAGGCACCTCCATCTCCCAAAAAGGTGGTGCAAGCCACCAAGGACGATGCCGATGCGCCTGTGGTGACCCCTGAAGCTATGATGCAGGAGCTTCAGGCCTGCCATACGACGGTCAAGAACTTTGCTGCCAACATGTCGAGGCTCCTGAACGGGATCACGAGGGTGGCTCCCAACCTTGCCAAGGTGCAGACAGAGCTCGAGAGCAACCAGAAGGCGACCCATGCCCTTGAGGTTGCGGTGGAGAAAGCCTTGGGTGGTGCGGACCTCAAGGACCTCCCCAAGGAGATCAAGGAGATGAACAAGCGGGCCAGTGCACTGGAAAGCATCGTTGGTGCAGTGACTGCAAAGATGGGGACCATGTCACAGAATGTGGATAGCTTCGGGAAGAGCAACGAATCCCAGCTGAAAGACGTCCTCAAGGGTGTTGCGGCAGTGGCTAGCTCGAGTAAACAACAGAACCTCGACCTCACCACCCACGTGACCACCAAGACGTCGATGCTGGAGTCGGGAGTGAAGGAAGTGCTTCGCAAAATCACCGCTACGGACTATGATAGTCATACGAGCATGACGGCCACCGTGAAGGATGTCTCCAACCAGGTCTATGACCTAGGCCAAGAACTTCTGGCTGCCCACAACTTCTTGCAAGGCGAGGTGGCAACGCAGAAGGAGAACGTCTTCCAGCTGGCCACAGTCCTTGCCAGTATCTCTGAACAAGTTCGGGTTATTCGTGACTACTGTGAACGGCCGGTTCCTGTGGCGGTAAGTGGCCAACATGACCGGCCCCCTATGCCACCCCCGTCGTACGAGCCGAACTTGCAGCATGGC